CGTCTTTCTGAAGGATTGAATGGAACTTTGGTGCACCTTCCAGCCCAAGTCAGGAGTGCTGTCTTGCATGAATGTGACCCAATCATCGCAGGGCAAAGGTTCAGAGGCCCATCCAAAAAACTCACGCAGCCATATGGTGGCCTCTGATGCACTCATTGGTATATGCACCCAGCAGCCCTGCTTCTCTGAGAAACTTGGCAAAACAAAGTCAATAAAAACCAGTCCTTCTTCCTGCCGTGCCGCCCACCACGAAGCTGACCAGCCCATCGATGAGATTCTCGTACCTATCACCGCATAGTGAAGGTACCTTATCTTGGCCTCCGCTGTTACAGCAGTTCTGGACGACAATGCATCTGAGTACAAAAGCGTCTCACCATGGCACAATGCTGTTGTTACAGATTCCAGTCGCTGTGCATCTCTCCAACGACAGCAAGCATGTATGCCAAACAAAATCCGCCCATGTATGCGCTGCAAGACTGTTCCAGAAGTCTGCATGGCACCTTCCAAAATCTTCACCTGTTCCACGGTCAGCAGTGGCTCCTGCTGCAGAGGGTTCTTACCAAGGCACATATCCCTGGCGACTCCACGGCATCTGGCTGATACAACTTCTGACAAGTCTGCAACCACCAGTTTTGCAGTTGAATCCAAAAAGTACAAAGCTTCAACCACGTGCTGAGCTGAAGTGTCACCGGACCCCGCTGTACGCATCTCACAAAGGGCTAAGCTTTCATTCTGAAACAGTCCCTAAACGACTGATCAGTGTCATAATGCAGTGAGCCCTGATCCAAGCGACCTCGACGGCTTGCACCTAACTGGGTGGCTAATGGATCCTGCAGAACGATGTCACGTCTTGCTCTCTTAAGCTCAAATGGGATCACAAGCATCTCTGCAGCATATTGAGAACTCAAAGGTCGTGACTTGACAACTTCTGATTGCCAAACATCTGAAACATCAAAACATGCAGGAGTGAAAACCTTGTCCAACGAGGCCAGCACCGTGTCATACCACCTGTCAGTCGTTCGAAAAGTTGAACCTTCAACCTCCCAGGGCAGTTTCTCACTATCATGCCTAGCTCTCTCGAACTCAGCTGTTAATGCTGCTGATCGCCAAGCAAGCTCACGATTTTGAATGCCAAGGACTTGAATGCATGAAAGATGGTACCCTTCGTTTGAATGCGTTTCCAGACCACGTTTCAAAGAGGTTGAGGCTGCTTCCTGCAAAAACTGTTCAACTGCCGGTTCAAAGACTTCCCAATCTGTAGGTGATCTACAGGCATCTGCAGAACCAGCAGCACTCTTGCAAGACAAGGTGAGTTACCATCATACGGCTTTTCCGGCATGACTGTTCTCATGTAAAGGCTCCAACACATCAGGCACTGAATCCTGTAGGTCTGCCATCGCCTACGAAGGCCTTTGAGTTGATGAGCCCCATGGATAGGCTCTTCATTGTCCAAATTCATTGCACAAAACAGGTCAGAAATTAAAGAGGACCCAAATAGCAGATGCAAAACCGAAAATCCAGCCACAAGCACTAGCCACGAAGATTGACCACAGTGAAAAATATAACTGTCGAGGTTTCAATGCAGCTGCCAAACACTTGCCACGTGCAATAGGTGTTCCTCTCCTCAAAATCTCTCCCCTGTTCCCACTGAAATTGTCCATGGCAAGAATTTGAACGACCCTCCCTACCCATCCCTTAAGCATGGATGGCCACACAGATATAAAATGAGACATTGACCAAATTTACAGATTTAAATTGTCTGTCATCTGAAGTTCACACTGTACAGTACATCTTCGGTTTGAAGATTCACATTGGGTTCAAACCAAAGGAATTGAAATCAAAATTTAGTGGTTCAGATTTTGTTGTTTGGAATTTTGTTTGTTTGGGCAGGTTTCACGGAACGCGATGCACGTACGCGCGTACTAAGGGGGAGCATACAGACGCATAAGGATATTTACAGACCGGGCAATATACATTGTCCTGTTTGGACGCTTAGAGAGAAAGTACTGTCAGCACGCTGAAATTCCCGACATGTCGGGGCCTGGAAACAAATCAGAAACAAGTGGCAGACAAATGGGAGATAAGTGAAAATTCTTCAGCCCAGGGCCGGCACAACAAGGGAGACAAGCAGGACACAAGTTGGAAACAAGTGCAAACCCTTCGGCCCAGAAAAACCACAACTAAGGAGAAAAATAACTAGGAAAATTTAGCCTGGAGAAGTTGGGGTCGTCTTCCAACCTGTAAGAAAAGTAAAGCCGCGCCCTAAGAGGAAGGGTCACCAATGCGTAAGCCTTAAAAAGCCCCCCCTAGGCCTCCTTATAACCAAACCGTATCCGTTGGAGGTGTCTTTGAAATCGGTGTCGACCCGGCTCCCCCAGATCCCACAGCAGAGGAATTGAACGCAGTTTTTGAGAGATCAAAAGAAGCCCAGGATCGGATCGGAACAGGGAAGTTGAAGGTTTTGCTGAGAGAAGAGCTGCAAAAGCCCTCAGTGAATACCACCAAAGGCAAACTCAAAAAAATAAGCACAATAAGGTGCGTCCCCCTCCAAAACAACCTCCTATTCCACCAAAACCCGACAGACCGGCGCCGAATCCTGCGGTCGCCTCTCCTAAACCTAGCTCTCCACCAACACCAATACTATCCCCAAGGGCAGGCAGTACACAAGACCGGCAAGGGCAGGCGCAGCCACAGGCGCAGCCACAGGCGCAGCCACAGGCGCACCACCAAGGCCAGCTTCCGCTTAGAGAGAGCCGTAAGCAGGGGATATAAATAAGAAGACACATGGGATCCTTTCAACCCAGAAAACCACTAGAAAGAAGACAAATAGGAAGACAGCCAGGAAAAAGTAGCTGCGACCCGTGGGAGGCAATTGGCAATCTTTCAGGCCAAGCCCGCCGCAAGTAGGGAGACGAACAGATCAAAGAGGAACAAAAGCGGGAGACTGGAAATCTGTCAATCCAGGGCACGGGCAGCCACAAGCGGGAAGCCAAATGGGAAGAGAAGTGGGGGACAAATTCGAGACAAGTGGAAATCCTTCGAGGCCGGCCACAGCAGGGAAGGAAAGTAAAATAGTAGGGCGGCGAATGCAAACCCAGAAACAACGCCAAAAATCTTTCAGCCCGAGGAGCTAACCGTTCGGGTGATGATGTGGAAGATGAAGTGGAGGATGAGAAGGTGCAGGATGATGATGTTCAGAAGGAGGAATGTGATGATGTTGAGGGTGATAATGTTGAGGAGGAGGATGATGAAAAGGATGATAGCGTTCCATGAGGTGGAGGATGATGATGTTGCTGAAGATGAGGTGGAGGCTGATGATGTTGAGGATGACGAGGTCAAGGGGGAGGCAGATGATGGTGTTGAGAATGATGATGTTGAGGAGTGTTGAAGAGGAGGACCGATCCCAAGACCAAGACCGCGACCCACACTTTGTGCAAGCCTGCGCGCTCGACATGCACTTCAACATTGCACAAGAGCGAATTCATGCAGACATTTACAGGCGAAATGCTGCGGACCAAGACCGGGGATCACACTTTGTGCGAGCCTGCGCAATCGAAATGCACTTGGACAAATATTTCACGAGCTAGCAGCTAGCCACTTTGCGCGAGAATTTACAGGTAAAATGCCGCGGGCCAAAACCACAACCCACACTTTGTGCGAGCCTGGGCAGTCGAAACGCACTTGGACATGTCACAAAAGCCACTTTGCGCAGAAATTACAGGTAAAATTCCGCGGACCAAAACCACAACCCACACTTTGTGCGAGCCTGGGCAGTCGAAATGCACTTGGACATTTCACAAAAGTCACTTTGCGCGAGAATTTACAGGTAAAATGCCAGGGACCAAAGCTGTCGACCACACTTTGTGCGAGCCTGCGCAATCGAAATGCTCTTGGACATTTCACAAGAGCCACTTTGTGCGAGAATTTACCGGTAAAATGCCGCGGGCCAAGACCGGGGACCACTGCGCGAGCCTCTGCAGTCGACATGCACTGGGACGTTTCGCGAGAGCCACTTTGCGCGAGAATTTACAGGTAAAATGCCGCAGACCAGCTGGAGCACCCTGATCAAGCACCGGCCTTTACACTTACCGTAAGAACCCCTCAGTGTGGACACACTGTTTGGTGACACACGGGCAATGGTGGGAGAGAAAGCCGCTTTCAGTGGGCGGACATTGGACACGTGCAGTGACCTCGGAGAAAACCACCAGCGGCCCCAACGGACAAATGTTCCCGGCAAGAGACCCCAAACAGTGTTGGGGAGTGGGAGGAGCATATATGATAATGTTGATGATGATGATGGTGATGATGGTGATGATGATGATGATGATGACGATGATGTTGGCGATGATGATGATGATGATGATGATGATGATGACGATGATGATGATGATGGTGATGATGATGATGATTGATGATGATAAAGATGCTGAACATGATGATCTTTAGGTGAGAATTTACAAGAAAAATGCCGCGGACCAAAACCGTGGACCACACTTTGCGCAAGCCAGCGCAATCGAATTGCACTTGGACATGTCACAAAAGCCACTTTGCGCAGAATTTACAGGTAAAATGCCGCGGGCCAAAACCGCAGACCACACTTTGTGCGAACCTGCGCATTCGAAATGCTCTTCGACATTTCACAAGAGCCACTTTGTGCGAGAATTTACCGGTAAAATGCCGCGGGCCACGACCGGGGACCACTGCGCGAGCCTCTGCAGTCGACATGCACTGGGACATTTCGCGAGAGCCACTTTGCGCGAGAATTTACCGGTAAAATGCCGCGGTCCAAGACCGGGGACCACACTTTGTGCGAGCCTGCGCGGTCGAAATGATTGCATGCACAAGAGAAATTTTTGCAGAAATTTACAAATAAAATGCCAAGGATGCCAACAGTAAACTGCTTTCGGTGGGTAAGATTCGCACCCGAACATTACAGCATTGGGTATGTCACCTTTGGCTTTCCTGGGTTGGTTGAATCGCCGTGAGATTTCCAATCCTGCCTCGCTAATCATCAGCCTGGTCTCCACACATGGTTTCAACCAGTCTCTGTTGATGCTGCTGGGTGATTCAAAATACTTGTCCACCTCGGTCCAGGAGACGTTGAAGCCACGGTAGAACTCCAAAATCAAACCTCACTGAACTGCAGAGCAAACAAGGAAGGGTAACATATGAATGAACAAATTAACCTCATATTAAGATTTGGTTTTGTATAATCGTATAATAAGAGCTTTCTATATGATATACAATGTAAAAACATTTATACATATATATATACAGTATATAGTCTATGATATATGTTTTGTGATACATGATGATATGTGTATATTGTATGTGTGTGCTCAAGTTCAGTCATGCCCCCGTCTTCGGCGAAATACGACGACTCACCAGTCACACGGAGTGGAAACGCCAATGAAGATCACATGCCCAAAAACAACAAAAAGATACTATATAGCAAATAATACCTGTATATAAATAACATATATGATACTGATAATGAAACACTATATACATATACAGATATATATATATATACATCATTTACTGACAATATTATGTATATTGCATGATTTATGACAATTTATGAAATACTAATGAAAAAGGAGAATGCAAGTAGTATCCGGGCAAGCCAGCGGCGGAAGTTTCAAAATTGAAACGCCTATAGCCTATAGAGCGAAACAAAGAATGTGCCTTCTGTGCTTCGCAGCAACAATCTTTTGACTTTTGATTCCGGTGCCCTCTCTTTTCAAAGCTGGACCTTTTCCCATTTCATCTGATCTCATCGCATCGCAGCTTCTCTTGGAAATTGCTCATTGCATCCCACTGTGTCATCCCATCTCATCTCATCTCATCTCACGCCGTGTCTTCTCAGCGTTTTTCACCTCCCATCTCGGCGCAAAAGCCGAAAAAAATACGATTTTGGTGCTTTTCTGCAAAAGGATTTTCAAAGGAAAATGAAAAGCACCAGAAACGACAAAAATCAGCAAAAGCTCATTGCGGCAACTTGTCGCGATTGAACTGCCACTTCAACTTGTGAAAACGAAGCTCTCGTGCGAGACTGCCCTCAAAAAAAGAAAGTTGAAGACGCGAAATGGAAGCTCTCATGCGAGACTTTTATTGCTGTGACCATCATTGCTGTTGACTTTCATTGCTGTGACCATCATTGCTGTTGACTTTCATTGCTGTGAACATCATTGTTGTTGACTTTCGAAGCTGTTACCATCATTGCTGTGGACTTCATGGCTTGGAAAATCAGTGCTGTTGACTTTCATTGCTGTGACCATCGTTGCCGTCGTCAATCATTGCTGTTGACAATCATTGATGTTCACTTTCATTGCTGTGACCATCCTGTCTGTTGACTTGCAAAGCTCCGGACAACGGAAATATAGACTTCTAAACTTCTTTTGACAAATACGTGTACATGTGTATAAATATATATATATATATATGATCCAGTCCACCGGCCACCTACCCCCCCATGGTATCCCCCCCTCCTTATATACATACAGACAAACAGACAGACAGAAATACATACATAACTCCCTACCTGCATGTATACATACCTTCGTACATACCCGCCTACCTGCATAAATACAAAGACACATTTATGCATACCTACCTACATACATTCCTACATGCATACATACCTGCCTACCTACATACATACATACATACATGCCTACATATAGACATACACACCCACCTACACCCATTCTTACCAACCTACCTACTTACATACCTACCTTCATACATACGTGCATGTATGCATTCATACATACATAAATAAATCGACATATATATATATATATATACCTACCTAGATACATACCACATACCCGCCAAATACCCCCCAAATACCCCCACATACCCCCACCACAAGGGGGGTTGGGGGGAGGGGCGAAGAGGGGCACCAGCGTCTAGATTAGATCAGCTAGAGCCTTGAGCCTTGATAGCGTATGTAAAGTGTGCTCAGTACTCATGCTATATCCACATAGGATCCAGCCCAAAACAAAAACACAGGCACAAATTCAAAGGCAATGAATTGAGCACTACGCTTTGTCGCGTTGGCTAATCAGCAAAAACGAGCGGAAGTTGCGCAGTGGTTTCTATACAAAAACAAACGGAGCGCTAGCGGATTGATTGCGACAAAGTGTCCTAAAGACATGTCGAAGTGAAAGCAGCGGATTCGCGAATTATTTTTCTCGACAATGGTGCGCGAAGCACGGTCGATCATGGTAAAATTCTCTACCGGTGTGACAAATTCTTCTTCAAACGCTCGAATTGCAAGATTCAGAAATTTGGGTCAGATGGAAAACAGTTGACCGAATCACAAAATAAACGGATAAAATCGGATCTCCAAAGTCGCTCATTTAAGCGGACAATGGACAAAATTCGGAGTTGGATCCCAGTTTGAATTTCTACTATGGGGTCGAGAACCCATTTTGTACCAAAGCATCAAAATTCCTAACCTCAGCCATTATAAAATGATGGTTCTCAACCCCCAGAGGATTACGGAAAATGACAACATGATACTGCTACAAAATGAAGATTGGTTTTTATCATGAGGTTACTTGAAGGGGAAATTCCACCACTACAAAATGAAGATTGGTTTTTATCATCAAGTTACTTGAAGGGGACACCCCGCCACTACAAAATGAAGATTGGTTTTTATATGCTTTTATCATCAGGTTACTTGAAGGGAACACTTCAATACTACAAAATGAAGATTGGTTTTTATCATCAAGTTACTTGAAGGGGACACTCCACCACTATAAATGAAGATTGGTTTTTATATGTTTGTATCATCAGGTTACTTGAAGGGAACACTTCCGAAGGGCAACTTCCCTTGCTACAAAATGAGATTGGGTTTTTACATGTTGTCTTCCGATGGGCAAATTCTCTTGCTACAAAATGACTTTCGATTTTTAAAGGTCTTTCAACTACCGAAACGTTGACAACTTATAAAATGCAATTCCCAAGCTGCGGGTACAAAATGCCTGGCCCATCCCCATTTTTTCATCTTAATTTATGCCTGGAAAGGCCTTGAAACGGGGCACAAGGCCTCCCATTCTGTAGTTGAAATTCGAACGGGGATGGAGTTGGTATTTGATTCGTTCGCTGCAAAAATTGATCTGCTCGGCAAAAAATGTACGGAGACAAAATGCGATATTCTCTCTATGTACAAGAGTGTATATATCTACAATCTAAAGTGAAATTCGGAACACAGTAAAGGTACTATCTCTTTCTAACAAGAGTATATGCCATCTTGTGTAAAAATGAATCCACATGAGTGGTGTTATCTCCTGCTATCAAGAGTGTATGCCATCTTGTGAAATAGAAATGAGCTCGCAGAAAAACTGTACTTGATCAAAATCATGCTGTGTTATCTTCTTCTTTTAGAAGTATACACTCACCTGTTTTTCGGTCTCCATGCCCTCGATGCGGTACGTTTTCAGTCAATGAGACGTGCTTATCTTGTGACCACAACATCTTTATGGCTGCCCCTACAGACAAGGATGCTCACAACCCACTTCTTGTTCATCTGAAACCTACTGATATGGAATGGAAAGAGAAGCGTTCCTACATTCCTCCTCAAAAGAAGCAAGAGCGAAAGGAGAGAAGGAAGGCTATTCAAAAGTCGAACAGGATTAAGGGCTTTGGCGAAGGTCCTCTACTGGACGAGTCTTGGAGCAACTGGGATGGTTCTGCCGAATGGGTGCAGGATGACACTGGTCATGGTGGTTCCTCATCTTTGTTGTTGAAATGGATTTCCTCCCTTGTTCTTTCCGTCGCCTTTTCCTTTTTTTCCCTTCCGTGAAGGCATTCCTTTGAAAGAATCCTTACCTTTCATTCCTTCCTCGCCCTTCTTGCCTTTCCCTTTCCCCCAGAAAGCTGTGTCTTGCTGGTCGTTCTCCCATGCTATCCCATGCTCTATAGCCTTTTCCTTTTGACCTCGGACGGAAGCCGGGTCTTGAACGTTTGCCTTTCCTTCCATATCACCGACGCTTATAGAGTAAGTACCCTTACCGCCCAGAACCCAGAAATCGGTTTCTGTCAGACCTGTAAATCTTTCCTCTCCTGTGTCCTCATCTACGACCCAAGATCCTTGCTCTCCTTCATCAGTTTCTCCTTCATCTATGGTGTAGAAGGAAGACCGTTTTCGGTGCGAGATATTTGGATCAGCGACTCCACTCCTCGACGCAACAATTCAAGGAACAACTGATTCACCTGCAAGTACGTGCTACTGTTGCATGGCGATTTGGCGGATGTTCATGGAGGAAACAAAACGTTCACGTTGTTGTTCATTCAGGTCTGATTGAACTAAGAAAATCAGTGACATCAAATTGTCTCACAGTGGGAATGCTTGTTGATGTTGTGCTCGCCGACTCGTTGTTGTTTGTTCCCGATGGGTGGCTTGATATGATTCTTTCTTCATCATTTGGTAATTGCTGGTAGTGCTGACACTGTTCATCAGTGAGTGCTGTCAAAAATTCAGCCGCGCCTACGTCCGGTAAGTCGGTCAAGTCAATCAGATCGGCCCACGATGCAAGGAATCTCTTCTGTGCAATCTCGAAACGCCCTATCCAGTGCACGAATTCATTCTGGCCTCGGTATGTGCGAAACAACCTCTCAATCCTTGAAATGAGCGAGGCCACGATCCGGATCTCGGAGTAAGGCATTGTCAGGCATTAGGCATTGACTTGTAGAATGAAGCGGCTCCTACCAATGCATTTTTGAGTGATGGGCCATGTTTGTCTGCATCTAATGTTGTAATGCCTAACCAATCATCTATTAAATCTTCATGCTCAACCCAATAGATTGGCCGTCAAATTCAGGTGGCACCTTCGGAGTCATTTTGATACCAGTTCGAGCTGCTCTTCATATGTTTGAACTTGGAGTTCTTCGTCTGAATCCATGCTGTGGATTAAGACCATGGCAACTACTCGCAGCTGTGCCACAAGCTGCCCTGGCTAGCCCGTATATCGGCGCAGGTGCAAGAAGCAACTGCTGTCCAAATATCGGATCTGACCAGGGCACAGAGCTCCGCTACCACTTTGAGGTAGCGTTCCCGGTAATGAAGGGCCTAAGCTAGAAGCTACGAACACTTGTGGCCACACAGTCGGCGCAGCACCT